GCTTTTTTACCATTCCATCAGCAAAACTGGACTAAGAAAACCCCAGAGCATTCCTCAGACACCCAGGTGACAAGTCCTGCTGCTCTGCTGCCCCAGGCCTTTGACACTGACATGCCAAGCTGTGTTCACAGACGCTGATGGTGGGACATCAGCCCCTGGCACAGGCTGGTGCCACACACCTGCAGACACCAATCTTTCCCACTACTGCAGATGCTTTGGCTGTACACAGCTTCCCTTGGCTCTAGGCAAGGATCCAAACACTCCCCTGTTTTGCCAGCTGGCTGTCAGAGACCCTTACACATTATCTTCAGGGTTTTAATTAGTTGTTTGCTGTAAGTGCACGATCCATTCCCAGTGTAATCACCCAGTGGCAAATATCCTGCCTAGGGAGCTCCTTTCCTACTGGATTCATGCTAAAGATGCCAGTAAACACAAGGTGTTCTCTTAAATTTGGAGAGTCCTGTTCTTGACCTAAGAACGACTGAACTTCACTGAGACTATATCAAAGGGAAGTGAAGCAACCTGAGATCAAGAGTAAAAAAATAAAAGAGAAAGAGAAATACATGTCTTTTTCACATTTCCCCAATCCAGTTGCAACCCTTAATGCAATTACTTTTGTAATGCTTACTGTGTTGTTGAAGTGCAAAGGATACAGTTCTTTCTGATGTTCTAATTCATATCCCATTTGTGCTAAAACACTAGGCAGTCGGGGTTTTGTTGTTTCTCACAGAGATCAGTTTCCCAATTCTTTTTAGTGGCAAAATTTCCATTTGTTTGATCATTTGTATTTTAATATAAAAGAACTGTATTAATTCCAGGTGAATTTACTTGTTTTACACCTTTCAGTTCTAAACTCAGTGGATTTGTCTACTTTGAGTGTTTCAGCCACACTCAGACTTTCTATTTCACTGTGAGATGATATATCACAGCTGAAGGAGTCATTTTAAACTGACATTTGCCTTTTGTAATCCTGTGTGGAATTGCCTAGATAGCTAAACTTTGTTCAGCCTGTAACTGAAACAGGAAGATGCAGATGTCAACAAATGGGTGACTCAGTCTCAGATGGCTCCACACAGCTTTACATCAGGAGCAGAAGTTTTCTCTGAATGTCATGTTGGCTTGTGCACACCCCAAAGCAACAGAAGGACCAGCATCCTGACTTACCCTGTCATATTGCAATACCCTGGCTCTGCTAATGTGAGCTTAATAATGACACATTATTTGCCTAAAGCACAACTTTTCGTTGACATTTAATAAATTTCAAGTAATCCCTTGTCTGCACACCTTAGGTTTGATATTTAAAACTGATGAGAATTTCAAAGACCAGCTGACAAAGTCATGCTGACAGGAATTGTCTCTGAGCCTTACCAGCAGTAAGGCAGGCTGAGAACTCACTTTCTAAGCATCTCAGGGTTGGTGTCTGGAAAAAGTGGAATCTGGTGCCTCTATCAGAGAGTGCCTGGGTTACAGGTGTGGGAAAGAGGAGTGGCTGCATGCATGGCATGGGACTGCTGCTTCAGGAAAAAGCACAAAGGGACCTCTCAGGCATTTGCATGGAGAGCCATACTGCAGAGAGAGTACCTGTTTTCTTAATCTTAATAAAACTCAACCAAACAGTGCAAACAGAGAAGTTATTTGCACTCTGGGTCTCTCCACTAGGTCTGCAGAGAGAAAGGACTTTAAGGTATAATCCATTAAAACACTGATGGCTTTTAAGGTGAGGTGGAAAGTTCAGCCTCCATGGATGACAATTGTCCTTTATCACCAGAGAGCTCAGAAGGAAAATGTATTACTCTCAGCCAAAAAATTAAGCTGAACTGGAATCATTCCACCAGAAAGACTGTTTGCACAGTTCTGCTTTAATAGTTACTGTCTTGATACTTGGCTGAGAGACTAATCATATGACATGGTGTACAGGAGCCCTCTCCAATTTATCCACTTGACTTCTCACATCTTTTCTTCCCATCTGAAATCTTGTAACATTCTTAATCAAAGGTCACAGGAGACACTGATAAACAGGCAAACTTTATATATGGCAAGGTTATCACACCTGATAAATCCAGGCCCTCTCTAACATTTCAGAATCTCTCAGAATAGAGAAGCTGAACTTGGGGTAATTCCCTATTTTTTCAAGCAAATTCTTATAACTACATGCATTCATGCTCCTATATTTTTATATATTTATATTTACATACACTGTACATATTTGTATAAATTTATGCATATGTGTTTACACACACCAAAAATACATATATGCCCATTTCAGTTCAGTAGGTTCTAGGAAGACTACAGCTACTCTTCAGTTAATTTTTTGAAGTAACTCAAAAACCAGTCTTGAAAAGTAAAAGAATAAAATTAATGCTTCCCATTTTCAATCCAAATGAATAAAATACCTCCATCTTACATTGCAAAACTGAATAATTCATTTTCAAAACAAAAACCTTTTCAAGCACGCTTTGAAATGTTCATGGGAAAGATATCATATTTCATTCTGCCCTAGCTTTTGCTGTCTTGCTCAATATGACAGAAGTCACCAGCAAAAGAACAGGAATAAACTGTTGTCTCCTGGAGGATAAATCCTCTCACATCATTGCTGTGAGCCATCTGCCATGCATTTTTAAGCATCTTGCTCCTAACATCAGTATTAAGTGGTTGCAGGGAGCACTCAGCATCCCAGGCAGTTACCAACCAATTGGACGGATTTCTGGAAAACACCACTCTGAGAGCGCCTTGCTGGGGTGAATCCAGTAGGAATGGCTATGCATTTGTTAAAAAAGGGTCATCAAGTGCTGTGGCTTTTACAATGGTGCTGACTATGGCCTTCAATTACGTTTAGCATGTGAATATGTTACATTTACTACCTGAGGATTTTAAAATAATTTTAGCTTTAAGGGAAGTATTTAGCTGGAGGATAAAATAAGGCATACAAAAGGTGAAAAAATCCCTCCAGCTGGCCTGCCTGGCTCTGGTAGATCTGCAGAAAGGGAATAAGACACATGGGACTATTTCCTCCACACCCATAGTGCATGATTCAGTATGTAACCTCCTTCAGCCTCCACTGCTCTGTTCCTTGGAAAGAGTCACATGATGCCCCCAAAAACTGGGGATGCTCCTAATGGCATTATCACTGTAACAATATTGGGCTGGTACAGAAAGATTATCACTACAAACACCTCTTACAACTGGTGAAACAAAATTCTCTCAAGCTGAAACAGATAAATAATGGAAAAAATAAGCCTTTTCAGATCAAAATTCTGACAATACCATATCAACAAGAAAAATACTAGAAAGTTTAAGGATATTAAGTATTCTTTTGAGTCTTTGTATCTTCTCTACTTGTCCCACCACACTTTGTCATGGACAGTCCCTGTACTGCAGCCATGCTCATTTAAGCTATTGTATTTGTTTTTGGGTTTTTTTTGTTAGGCTTCCTGCTGTATTTGTTGCAGAGAACCATATTTTTTTTTCTGTGCAACACTATTTCAACTTGTGTCCTCTGTAGCTTTCCTGCTGTTTCTTTTCCTCTCACATTTGTTACTCTTCTTTCCCTTCCACTCCTTCCTTTTGGGCTTGTTCTGGTTTGAATTACAAAGAAATGATAAATTCTATTGAGTGTTGTTATAAAAATGTTTCTTCTTGTATTCTGAGGTGTTGACCCCACCGTAGCTGAAGGCTCTTTTCAGATCTAAATGGTGCATTTCTTCCAATTTGACCTGCTGTCTCACATGTGTCCTTTAGTAACATGATTTTAGAGCAGAAAATACATCAAGATCCACTGTGGGATGTAGAAAAGACCATAACCTTACAAAGTGAATTTCTTTCTACTGCCTTTGACTATGTGTGATTTTGGGGATGCTTCTTCTTTCACAGGAACACTGAGTGATGCACAGGGTCACACATTATGTGAAGAAGCATTTCTCAGTAAAAAATATGAATTTGACCTCACTTCTTCAAAGTAAATGACAAAATTCCAGCTGATATTGGCCACAATAGCAGCAGAATTACGTTTTGATGCTTACACATAGAGAGGTATAGAGGCAGGGAATACACAATCATATTGAGAAGCACATAAAGCATGTTATAAAGCTCTGGCATAGTAATAACTGCGCTGCTGAGTTCATTTATGCCCTGTCAAAGAAAAATGCCATTTCCTAAATACCTGCAAAAGTTCATGCAGGAGGACATTTGATCCTGGGAAGCTATCACAGACATAATGGGTTCATTTCCTTCTTTTCCACATTTGCCCCCATTTCCTGGAAAAAAAAGAGGGTTTTACTTAGAAGGATAGCCTATCCATGCTATAATCTATGTCACTGCTAAATCATTTGCCTTGTATGCTTAAGGAAGCTTTCAATCTCCTCTGGGTCTAGAACCTGTTTTCTAGGGCAGCTGCCACAGCTTTAGGAGGCAGTTAATACAACTTTTTCTATTTAAAATTTACTTGTTTACTCTTTAAAATCTCATGCTCAAAAAAAGTTAAATAACGTAGTTTCAGTTTAGCTCCAGTTCAATTTTCTAGAAATCAAAATCTCTATCCTCCATACAATATCAAAACCCATGCAATTTAAATACTAAATAAGCATAATTCTTAAAATTGTCTGAAAGCCCAGCAGAATTATTAGTTATTGGAGTTATTAGTTATTATTAATCAGTTATTATACTGACCACATAGCAGCTGATTTCTGGGTGCCCTGGGGAAATAATGCCTTTTCAGCACCATAGCAATCAAATTATCCAAGCTTTCTGCAAACACAGACTTTGCACTAAGATGACAACAACCTGGTTGACCCTTCTTTGTTCCATCCTAAAGCACTGGTATAGTCATGCTGAAACATCTACCTTGGGCTAGAAATAAGAGAATTGGTCAATGTACAACAAGCTGATCGGTTCTCTCCCCTTTGACAATGAAGACCACTTATTAGTTGGGGGCTGAAAGACCAAAAACCATGAAAAACCATGAAAAAATGTTCTGCTTTCAGTCAAATTCACAATACCTGACTACCTGGAAATGGGAATCAGTGGGTGAAAAAGCACTCTGAAGTTTCTATTTTGCTGCCATTTGTTGTTGCTGCTGGGAGAGGTCAGAAGCTTATGTCTGTCTTGATTTGACACTCGTGGTTGGGTTCTTTTTCCCCTTGAACTGAAATTGATGAGAAGGAGGCAGTTTTTTCTCTTGTTCGGGCTCGGTTGTTTATTCTTCTCCTATCTGTATTACATGTATACAACGTACAAGGAGCTACATGCACTAAGATAGAGAAAGGTGCAAAATGGCTAACAAAGAACTTCTTCAAGGTCTTTTATATGTTCATTTATCCAATTAACAAATGCCAAGTAAATTATTTTTCTTAGTGACCCAAAACCTATGTGCTGCACTGCGACCTATCACTACCTAAAAACCTCTAGAAGAAGAGGATGAAGAAGAAAGAAGAAGAACAAGAGACAACATCCTAAATCCTTCATCTTGTCTTCTGTTCTCTAAACTAGTTTAAATTCCAATCTTTAACTTTTTCACTCAGTGACATAAGAAAAATTTCTAATTTACACACTTACACTTGTAGTTTTTCTATTTAACAGTTGTTTTCAGGAAATTCATATGAATATTATATGAAATTCAGCGCTTTCTTGGATGTCAGAGCCAGGTATTAGAGATAAGGGCACACTCTGTGCCTCTGACTCCAATGTATTGCTAAGGGTAACCTGTTTTCAACCAGCAGAACTTTGACTTGAGCAAGACTTAAATCATGACATCAGTATTGGCCTATATTCAATAACTGATGTGAAATTTGCAGTTCAAATTACTGTTTCTTGTCATGTACAAATTCACTGGGGTGGGGTATGAGGGAAAGAAACAAAAGAAAAGGAGAGACAATGAAGAAATAAAAGGTTTAATTTTTTCACTGCCTTACTTTTGCTGTAGCAAACAGCAAAATCTCTGTATTTCCATTACCTGTGGCTACCTTTCAAAGCAAAATTCACCATAACATTTCCTGTGTTCAAAGGTCACTACTGGCTGAATTACACAGTCAAGTTACAGCAAGCCAGACTCTGTGACCTCTTCTTAAGATTGGTAAAATCAGAGTTTTGGAGTGAAAAACACCAAGATTTAAACATAAACATATTTCTAGGTCCCAGAAAAGGTGAGATTAACTGTGTATGTGTGTGAGAGAGAGAACACCTTTCTCCAGCCCTAGTTACTTCCTGATCTGCTGAATATTTATTCAAATACTATAAATACTTACACCCTTTGTTCAGGATGCAGAGACTGTCATTCAAAACCTCATTAAGCGGTCAGTAGACATATCCATTGGTAGGAACAAGTAATGACATCAAGAAAATCTGATGACTTATCAAAGAAAACGTGTACAAGACATGCCAGAACAGTGGCCTTCTTTGCTTCTCCACGACAGAGCAGCAGTCATTACCTGCTCCCTCTTCTTTGACACACACCTTTGTAGTCTCGAAGGGAAGGGGCCACATGGGGCAGAAGGCAATACCTGGAGAAACAAAGCAGATAAGAGAGACAAGACATGGCAAAGTGAGCAGATCAGTGTGAATGCACATGCATTTTAAATTTGAAGGCAGAGCTGGCAGTGCCTATGAGTTCACATGTAATACCTGCTGTCAAACAGAGCTGCCCTGCAGAAGATGGTGGCAATCAGAGTCTCTTGGAACTGCTAATGTGAGAGGTGGAAGTGCACTATAAAAAGGAAAATAATATGGGGCAACCAAAAACTCCTGTCAGGTGCTCTGGCAATGCACACTACTGTGATATGATTTCCAGCATATATAACTGTTTATATTAAAAAACAATAGAGAAAAAAAAATGAAAAAAAAGAGTTTAAGCTTTTATACATGCTATCAACTTTTGCATGTGTCTATAGATATAAATATAAGTGTAAGCATGCATCAAATGCATGCATTAACACATGAATACCCCAAATAACATAAAATTGAGGTAGACAAAAGCTCTCTTCCAAAAGTAAAAGCACAAGCTTCTTGCAGCCCAAGGAGTAAAATCCAGAGGGGAAAAAAGGAGTTACAGGTGAGAGGAAACCAGTATGCTGTGCATACCACTAGTGTGATACCAGGCCTGAGTGTCTGTGGCTGAGACTCATATCAGTGTTTCAAAATGCATGTGTAAAACAGCTCAGACAAAATCTTTGTACACGGTGGTTGGGGCAGAGAGTGGAGCTGAGCTGGCAACAGCCTCATTGTGCTGTAGGCTGAGCCAGTTCAACAGAATTCCCAGAGTGGCAAAAGCCCTCAAATCTTTGTAACTCTTTGATAATTGCTTCACTGAATTCATTGTGGCAGGCAAACAGCAGAGTTTCTTGCACTGTTTTCATTCCAATAAATTTATTGAACTTCTTCTGACTGAGATAAAAACTCCTTTTGAAATGCCTTTCAAAAAGATCTGATTAATCTCTCTTCTATTTCAGGGTCATAAATAACTCTGATGCTCAGAGAAGACTGCAACCTTCAAGATACTTCACCCAGCAAGGAGGTGACTCCCACCTTCTGGGTATGCAAACCTGGATGCCTAAGCATGCAAAATCTTCTCCTTCCAATTAATTTAATGTCTCTGATAATATTTTCACAGAATAGGCTAAACTAGTTACAGTGAAATGAGATGTTGACCTTTTTTTTTTTGTAAAAAGGTTTTTCTTGATTTGAAACATGAAGATAAAAGTTCTCCTTGAAGCAGAACTGTTTTCTAAATCTGCTCATCTGTGAATTTGCCTGATTCACCATAAGCAAGGTCTCTGTTTATTTGTTCATCAGCCACTGTTGAAGCCCCTACGAAGCCACTGTTTGCAAAACCTGTGAAGAGTCCCAAGATAAAATCCCATTAGTACAACTGAAGCAGCTGGGGAAAGCCAGACAAACTTGGGGCTTTATGTTCTTCTATAACAATGTTTTCGTACATTAGAAACTAATTAGGAATGTACCATTCCTCCACAATTTGTATTTCGTTTATTACAACTTCACCATTAAACCATGTCTAATAACAGAAGTACAAAGGTGTCTAGATGTCTTGATATTGCTCAGAAAAACACAGAGTTTTCAGAGCTGTTCTAACCAAAACTTATTACTGAAAAGATGCTCTAAAAGTCATAACTCAAGTGTGCCTTGCCAACAGGGGAGTAAAGGTTAAGATAAATAATTGGAGAAATTAAACATCCTCAGAAAGCAAAGGAAAGAGGCAGAAGAATGACAACCACTTATAGCATGGCCAGACATCTCTAGATTGCTGATAAACAAATTCTGTCTTGTTTGCCTCACCCAGACTCAAAAACTCATCTGAGATAAATACTAGCAGCCAAAGCAGGGCCCATTGTGCATTTCTTAATATTTTCTTTATGATGATTATAGACTTGGAACCCAGTAAATTTGAACCTGCTAATCACAACTCCTATAATTTCATCACAAATTACTTAACAATACTTTTTTGAGGAGATTAAACTGCAAGCTGTCCTTGAGATGTGATGACATTCTTCTTGCAGACTCAAACACTTATTAAACAGAAGACTATTCCATTTCTTTTTGGTAGGGTTAATTTTCTGCTGCTTTAACTCCTTGAACTATCTTCCCTAATGCCAACCCACCATTGGTACCAGCACAAGGGAAGAAGAATGAGTGTCTGGTGGAGCTGGGAATGAGTTTGTTTCTTCAGAAGAGACCCTGGACCTCAGTGGCCCCTTGCAAGGGCACCATCACACCCCTCTTGGGCTTACCAGACCCAATAAAGGTCTGGTCACCCACCCTCACATGACAGCTCTGGGTCCAGGAGAGATGATGTCATCTTTAAGGTGGAAATGTTGTTTTGTGGAGCCAAACCTCTGTTGTCTCTCTGTAAGTCAGGGAACTGTATATATTTGGAATGTAAACCAAGATTTTTTTTAAAAAAAAATTACTAATGGGAACTGCTTGTGACTTGAAAGTTAGTGCATTGGTATGGTTCTGCAGCTAGGCACCTAGATACAAAGAGACCTTAGAAATACAGCTTTGGCAAGGATGAGCTCATGATTTCAGATTTCTCTTTGCTGCCAAAATATACAGTTGCCTCACATTTGCAATCAAAGAATTAATATAATTGTTTTCCTGATCTAGTCTAGGGCTTTTTTTCACAGAGCTTAAGCAAACTGCATCACTTTCTCATTTCTGCTAGAACCCCCAAAAGTATCTGCTGTTACACACTGCAACCACACTCTGAAAAGTTATTAATAACAGTGTTAAAAGTTATTGTTTTAACCATGAGCAACCAAACCCAACTTTATGCCCTGCACTGAGTGCTCCTCTGAACGATTCAAGGGAAATTAATGTTATTTATCCTGAGGCTGAGAAGCAACAGGAGAATTAGCATTCATGTCACTGTGCTCAAATCCCTGCAAAAGTTGACAATTCTATTTGCAAGTATAATTCCAGACTGTCCAGGGAGATGACAGACAAGCAGGTGCAGACTTGCCTGAAAAGGAAGATGCTTTAAGGCTGCACACGTACCATAAACAGAAGGAATCTCCCCACTTCCCTGGAAAGATTTTAAGGACATGATTTAATGAATTGTTTGACACAAACCTGAGTATATTAAAGAAGAGAGGCAACAGAAGGCAAGCAAAGTATTAGCCTGCGCATCCTTTCCAAGGCTTCTCTTTGCCAAGGCAGGAATAGCCTTGCTGTCTCCTCTGGAAAACTGGGGAGCTGAACACTCACATTGTAAAGCAATGAAAGAAGGGCACTTACTATAATTATTCAGGGAAAACACTGATGGTGCTGGAATTCACTAGCAAGGAACAGCTTTTGTAGCTGGCTAAATGCAGGAGGGAAGCTTGACAGAGGCCGTTTTGGCAGAAAAACTGGATGTTATGTTCAGTATATTCTGAACAAGTACTTGGCACACAAAGTGAACTCAGTTGAATGTATTCAAGAAGCAACAAGCTGTGAAATGTGTGTTTAGCTTAGTAGATTGGCAACAGTGGCTTCAGTCAAAGAAAGGACCACCTAGTTTCTCCTGTTTGGAGGTCTCACCTACTACAGTTCATCACAGAGAGATTATATACTGTTAAATAGTTGGTTGGTTTTTTCCCTGTAATTTGTCCATTAATATCAGCAGGGTTAATTTTCCAGTGAAACATTTATATTAGAAATTAAGTAACTTGGTAAACCTCATTACAAATTGTCACTGCAGAACATGCTACATTTCTGCTTAGTCACCTGTCCAGCATTGGTTTTTAGCCCTGACAGAGGTGAGAGAGAACAGCAGATCCAGACTGTGGCTGACAGGAAAGCTGAATAAAGCCAGATGTGTCTGTGAGACCCTCTGAGCCTGTACAGGCAGAGCCTGTATGGCAGAACAGTCCTTGGGCTGTCTCTTAGCATGGAATCACCCAGCATGAAGGCAATTTCATTCAGGGAAATGAACAGGTGTGGGGATGTGTTTCCCCCAGAACCAATCCTTAATGTTTTTCTTATCCATTAATAGAATAACACGTTGATTTAGTAATGCTTTTACTCCTTCTTACATAAAAGGAGATGAAGGTTTGTATTTTGTTGTCAGGTTTTTTTCCCCCACAAAGAAATCTCTATTGAGAATATTCATAGCAAAAGTTTGAGAAAATTAGGCTAATAAAACAATAAATAAAACAAATATTTATTATTTAACAATGTGCTTCTAAAAAAGCATACTTCTGGTTTTCTTTATTGTTTGTGTAAAAGAGGTAAATATTTTTCTTCAAAAATTTGACTTCACTTTTTCCAATGTTATGATTAGATGCATTTCTTCTAGAGTTATCAATTGATTCCAAATCATTAACTAGGCTAAGAGAACTAGTTACAAATGCACTTTAGAGACAGATATTCTTCTTCAGGATAATAGAAAACATTTGTCTAGTGACAAGCAAGAATTTTATATTTAAAATTTAAAACAATTGAAATACAAATTTTGGATGTACTGTAATAAATTCAAAAACAGATTTATTGCTTTAAATGACATTTTATTTCCAAAGGGCTTGGCTTTTTTTCCACCAACCAAAAAGGTGGAAAAGGAGGAGGAAAAAATATTTTATGAAATGTAAAATATGACACAAAGCTGCACGAGCTTGAACTGTTAATTTGATTACATTTTATATTTCTCTTTGTCTCAATGTTTTCTACAGTTTGTTTTTATTCTCAAGATCTTAGTTCTGTCTTCTCTACTCTCCAACAAAGCTTGAAAATATTGGCATAAAATCTGATATTTGAAAACAAAAACCCCTGAAATGTCATTGAGATCCTTTATATTTGCTCACTAGTTTCTTTTTGTGGGCACTTAGCTTCTTTTAAGTCCATATCTCTGGGTCTACTTGATTTAAACATGTGCCACAATTTCTCACTTCACTACATGACCCTGAGATCTGACTCTAAGAAAAACATCTACTGCTAAAAAAGATGTGGTGCTATCATGATCTAACAATGATCAATTAAACCCAGGCCTGAATTCTTATGAATTTCAAGTGACAGGCACCTCTGTTCAATGCTGAGATACTGATTCAGGAAGGCTTAGCATTATGAACCTGACGTCTGGATTGGTTTGCCATTCTTTCATACAGCCCCAAATTTAACACCCAAATCTCTTTTGGCTTCCTCTGATAAGTCTCTGGCTTTTTTATGTGTTTATAACAGTATTGTAAACTTACTGACCTGCCCTACTACTACATGCTTAGCACAGTTTATTCCATCTTTGCACACTATAAGTTATTTATTAATTCTTTCTTTATTTGTGAAGCTGATTAATACAAGTGGATGCATACAACAGCCAACAAGACAAACTAAACCAGGCACCATTAAAAATCAGTGCTCTTTGAAGGTTTCTAACCCGTGTAAAAGAGTGCTGGCATTCAGGCAACAGGCAGCATCTTGTCACTTAAAATGCAATATATTAAGCACAAGATTAGAGCAAACCCCACCAAATATTCAGCACAGTGCATCTTCCCAGGAATTCACTAGACCCCAGTACTATTGTCATGACACCTTATGAAATTGAGTTATTTAGCACTCACAGCAGATTAAGTGAGGACAGAAACTGCAGAAGTAGTCCACTTACAAAAGCCTCATTCACCCCATTGAGCAGAAGTTCAGCTCCTTTATTTGAAACAAAAGACAGTACTCAACCAAAGAGCAAACCCAGACTCAACTACCTCACACAGCTGAAGCATTACTGAAAACTGTCATGTTAAAGTCCTTCATGACCTGAGCCAAGGGCCAAACTCACCCATGGTGCAATTCCTCTGACTTCAATGGAGTTGTGCTGGCAACCACCTCAGCTGTACTTGGCCCAGTGCCATTATTTATGCAAGGCTGTGCTGTGTGTCTTCTCTTGATAAATGCCAGCACTGTAGAGCTCCGAAAAATAAAGAAAAAACATTCTTCAATAATCACAACAAGACAAGAAACGCGGATGCACAAACTGCAGCACGACAGATAAACAAGAATTTACAGCTGTGCTACGTGCGTGCACTTACCAGAAGCTTTTTCTTGTATTTTAAAGAAAAATTTATTGTCATAACTAGCATGAGCTTCTTTCTAGTAAAAGGACTACAATTTGACTCTTTCATCTCTGCTTTGAGCCACAATTTTTCAATTAAAAATAGAAGTGGGATGAGACAAATTCTGACTGACTTTTTATAGAGAAACCCTGGCCTGCAGTTTAACAGACTTGAAGGAGTGTAGGACTTGCAAATGCTTTCAACATCTTTAAATTTGGAAGTATTTAGCACTGCTACACGAGGTATGAAGCACAGCAAAATCTTCAAGACTCTCAGGAGCATGGTCATTGGTTTATATTCAGGTAACATGCTCGACGTGCTACTGGAGGCTGTTACGCTTTACTAGAGGCTCTGGAATGCCTTCAGATATAAACACAAAGGCTCTAACCTACCATTTTGCTGAATTGGTGTAGGTGATCTTAACACTTGTAGGGTAGTAGAAGGCACTAAATAACACCTACAAAGCAGGCTGTGGCACCTGTTTCTCAGGAGCTGACTGATATGTCAGGAATTCAGTGCCAGCATGAAGCCTGGCTGAGGAGCAGTGAATGCAAATTCCCCCAGGGGCTCCCTAAAGCCAACATCTTCCATTTCCTATAGGCTGGTGGTTTTTTTAACAAATGAGTCCAGTATGTGTGTATATATAGATACTTAAGTATGTACATGTATAAAATCAGCTTACTTTTCTCCTCACAATTATTTGAACAATAATAATTTTTAAAACTTAGATGTCATCTGGAATCAATGAATGTATACTCACATGTCTTTCTTTTGTCTGCTTAAAGGCAATGGTTAACCCTTGTATATTCACTTACACATGCAATGAAACTGTCATGCCTTCCTGACACTGCAACAGATGAAAATGATATTCTAAGAAAATATATGAAGGAACACTTCAAATGAGAAATAACAAAGGTTTAAGGCAAACATTTACTGAAATCTGATGCCACTAAATAACTTTGTTACCTTAGGCTGCCTATTTAACTGCTGCCTCAGCTTACTCATTTGAAGTATGAGAAAATGTTTCCTTATCTGAATGATAACTGAATTTTCCTGGGAAGGTAGAAGAGCTTATGACAGAAGGGACTTTTTGAGCTTATTCAGTCTACTGAGGAGCCCCAAACTGGGCACAGTGCTCCAGGTGGAGCCTCTCCAGGGCCAAAGACTGGGGAAGGATTGTTGCCCTCAGCAGTACTCCAGTGGTGAGAAGTCTTCAGCTGAGCTTTGTGGTCCTGGTTACAACTTGATTGTCCTGCCAAGACATATTTTGAATTGCTGAAAGTCTAAAAATAACTGCAGAAAGTGTTAGGTAGTATTTATGCAAGAAAGGATGACAACTTGTGCTTTTTAATCCTACCCAAAAGATTTACTTAGCTAAAGTATCAAAATTTGAACTTTATCTGACAGAGAGTTCCTGTAGAGAGATGTCAGAGACCTTTTAGAAAGAATATATTTATTATCATGATGTACTTACATTGCTGCCAGATGGAAGATTTAGTCAGGGAATAAAAAACTTAATTTCATTTTCCATTGTGACAACTGAGTTGCTTCTTCCTATTTAAAAAGAATAAATGAGAAGATGGTATGTTTAACTAAAGAGAAAATCAGCATTTGTGATTGCCTTCAGTTGAAGCACAAGCCCCTCTCTCCCTTAGTTTCTGAATTGCTATCCTTCACTGGATCATCCACCTTAAACATGGTAATTTATCATTCCTTTAACACAATCATGCTATCAACACAACACAATTACCTCACTTTTTTTATGCTTTACCATTTTTTTCCACTAGTTTCCTTCCAACAACTTAGCTCCATCAATGTGCAGCTATTGTAAAACCAGATTTGCTTATTTTACCTCCTTTTTAATAAGCTCCTGGAGCGCAGCCTTGCTGAGAATATTTTAGACAGTTTTGCCTTTCCCATTATATCAAACACATGTATGTTATTCTTCTTTATCTTCTGCAGACGAGAACACAGATCTGCTTCCTGCAAGCTTTCTTTCCAGGGGCAATCAAGTGTTCATACCCAGACTGTGTCAGAAACACACCCTAACAAGTGAGCTGCTCCATGCTGTCCCATCTACAGTGCTGTAATACTCTATCATCAAACACACTTCTCTGCTATACAAATTCCTGGGCAGAACAGCAAACTAGCTTTTTAGATTCCCAGTGATTTCAACAGTAGTAGTTAAATACACTCCTGAGAATTTGTTCAAATATAATTTTTACTTTTGATGGCTATATTAATGGCAACTGAAAAGCACAGGGCTAATATGAGATTTTCAGGTATACTAAATCTGGTCTCCTGCTATTATAAACAAGGTTGACATACAATCTTGCTCAAAAAATATATTCTATTTCATTTTACGTAGACTTTTTGGTTTTTTTTAAATCCCTCTTTACCGTATGTCCTGGGGTGACTTTATGATGTCTGTATCCCCAGTTGTCTGTTCTGTTTATGCTGGACATTAAGTTCTGCACCTTTCAGACTGGTTCCAAGAGTGAAAGGGGGAAGAAGAAGCTGCAGTTTGTGTTCAGAAATGGCACTCACTGCTCCTGGACTGTGGTGTCTGCAGCATGGACAGACAGCAGGACAGAGCTCCCCTTTGCTTTTATAGTTAGTTTTGGCCAGCTGAGGCAGAGGAGTTCCCTGCACTGTTTTTTTCCCTTTTTCTTGGATCTGTGCAAACCTGCTCTGGACAGAACACCCAGACAAACCCTGGGAGCTCAGGCCTGTGTCCCACCAGGGCCTGGACCTCGGCACTTTGCAGTGCAGGAGGGACTGATAAGGAGATTGATTGAGCGGGCTGAGCTGCACCCCATGAAAAGGACTTTGTGAATTTGCCATCTCTTCAAAAATGTGAGAGGTTTTATTGTTTAATATTTTTCATTTCTTTATGCTTGTGAATACTTTGCTTGTGAAATAAATGGGTGTTTTCCACTTTTCTCCAAGAAAATCTTTCCCCAAACCAGTTGGGGAAGGGGCTGCTTGAATTTGCCTTCTGGAGGGACCCCTTTGGGAGTTTCCTAATTTGTCCTAAACCAGGACGCCATGGAAAGGCATACCTAAATACCTGAAGCTTACATCATGTTCCTCTGTCCAGCCCAACTGTACCCAGAGCCACTGAAAAACCTACTGTTTCTTGTACATATTCCTTTCATTTAGGCCTTGGGTTTTACTCTTCTCACTCCTTTCATTCACTTTCTTCAAGTGATATAAATAGAGGACTTCCAACATCCTTTTAAAGAGAGACACTCCTCCCAAATCATCTCTGCACCTTTTTTTTTTTTTACAGTTCACCTTCCACGATTGCAGAGGATCAGGACTTCAGACTGTATCCCAAATGAAGTGTTCTCTGTAGACAGGCAGAAAATATT